ATTATTCATTTGACAATATCTCAGTGTCAAAATTTATATTTCAAATTCATTGTACATACACAAGTCAGAGATGAGAACCTGCTTTCTAGGCAGTGAAATTTGGCTAGGTAAGTTACGGAAAATCCAAAGATGGATATGCTTATTTGAAATGACTTTATCTTCTTAATGTTACCATGCTTACAACACTGAATTGTACATTTTGTAACATTTTTTCGCATTACAACACTATTTATTCAGGTCGCAATTATAGTCCGATCTTTACGAAATTTTGCATGGAGGTAGAGTTAGGGTCAGAATAAAAGACTATTGCTTTGGAAGATGTTCGCACAATATTTAGGGTTTAAAATGGACCAAGAACCCACAATTTTTTTTGCAGTCGCTCTACAGTTTTTAACTAGTATTTAATATACATGGAATTATATATGAGGTAAGAGTTTAGGACAGCGCTGAAGCCTAGCATTTTGAATGATCATCTCTATTTGTATTTAAGGTTTCCACGAAATGACAACATAGATTATAAAGGTATATTGATGTTACAACATATAACATAGCAAAGTGTTATTTTGGGGGTTCGTATCAATCTTCAATAGCCTTAATAGATTGTACTCCCATTGACATAAGCTTACAACAATGAGCATGTTTCAATCTTTCCAAGGGTTTAGTAAGTACATCTGCTACCATATCCTCTGTACAAAGATATTCCACGCTTATGTGGATATATGACGAATGTAATATATGACGAATGTAGAGTTATTATGAGCTTGACCTACATCCTTCTTGAAATTTGTTGAAAGGTTTTTCTTAATACAAAGTTTTGATTCTCCGTATTTGAAAATATGAAGATATCATCTACGTACATTTCCAGGTAGGAGATTTCTTCTTCGTTTAGCTTGTAATAAACACACGGCTCAGTTTTCGATTGCTTTAGACTAATTCTTTTCAGAGTACCATCTAGTTTCTTATTCCAAACTCTACTAGCCGTATAATGGCTTATTCAATTTGCAAACCATTCTACTGTAGATTTTAAGTCCTTCAGCAATTTTCATGTATATTTCCTCGTTTGAAGCAAAGCAGTAACTACGTCACTTTGGACAATATACAAATCATACTTATAATAAACGTATGGAGGAATATCTGACAATATGTGAGAAGGCTCTTTCATAATCGATATCGTACTTCTGAGAATATCTTTGACTACAAGCCTGGCCTTGAATCTCTCACCTTTTGAGAGTCGCTTAATTTTAAAACAATAATAGTTTCCTTCTAATGATTCCTTAGCCGTCTTGGATTGTTTTCATTTGCGTCTATAGCATTATAGACGTACTCATGTCATTTTACGGCTTGGAAATTCTAGATGACCGTTGCAATTTTGGTGGCAATGTGATTCTAGTTTTAGATCGACCAGAGGATTTACTATCGGATTCATTATCAAAACCAATAATTGGAGAGCAGTCTGTATCATCAGAATGTAATGTCGCTGTCTAATTCCGGCAGGATGTCTCCAGCATCTGGGGTATCCGTATCTATTTCCCCCACTGAATAATTATTTATTGCAACATTTTCAACCGCTGTAAAATCAGTCTGTATCTTGCTACTAAATTCACTTCGAATTTGGTCATAAAATCTATACGTTAAGGAATGATTTGAGTATCCAACAAATAAGACTTCTTAACCTTTATTGTACAGCTTCCTTCTTTTTATACCCTCCACCATAGTATGGAGGGTATATTAAGTTTGTCATTCCGTTTGTAACACCTCGAAATATACATTTTAGACTCCACAAAGTATATATATGCTTGATCCGCATAAAATTCTATGTTGATTTAGCGATGTCCGTCCGTCTGTGGAAATCACTCTAGCTTCCGAACGAATTGAAGTAGATTGATGAAATTTTACTCAAATATATGTTATGTCTGCAGGCCTTTGATATTGAAAATGGGCCATATAGGTCCTCCCGATATTCGGCATTTAGATGATTTTAGCGACATTATTCACCGGAATTGTTTGGAATTTTGAAGTTCGTAATGAATACTGCAGCCTAAGACAGAAAATTGTCTATGCAGGTCCACGTCTACGTATAGCTCCCATATAACGGTACCTCCCGATATTCGGTATTTTGATGATTTTAGCGAATTTATTCACCGTAATTGTTTTATATTTGGTATTTAAAATTCGTAATGGATACTACAGCCTAAGACAGAAAACTGTTTTTGCAGGTCCACGTTTTCGTAGAGACCCCATATAACGGTACCTCCCGATATTCGGTATTTTAATGATTTTATCGACTTTATAACCGATTATTTTAATTTTCGCATTTGAATATTGTAATGGCTTGTGACAAATGTTACCTATGCAGGTTCATGCCGTCGTGTAGACCCTGCATTTGGTATTTTTAAGATTTTAAGAGAATTTTTAACGGATTTTATGGTTTTTGAGAATTGTCAAATTAGCTCCAAATGGTGGAGGGTATTCAAAGTTCGGCCCGGCCGAACTTACAGCTTTTTTATTTGTTTGTTTTGGGATGTGTATGACGGCTTTGCTTCAACCTACTTTAAGGTATTTCAAACACGACTTTTTTAAGAAGTATACAAAAACTTTTCTTGTAGATTCTTCTATGAATGTGAGCATATATTTCGATCTACTTTTTGAAGGAGTTTCCATTGGGCCACATACCTAAAATATCATTGGCTTTTCATATTTAAAAGGTGTTCTTGATGTTTTACACTCACACACGAATCACAATCTTGATCATTTCGCAGTCTACACCTAGAACAGCTTGTGAAGACATTTTTCACCTAGTTTCATTTTTTTTTTTTTTTTTGACAAATGATAGATCTATTATTAGCGATATTCATGCGAAACATAGCATCTATCAATTCGCCTGTAACGATATCTCCAGATTTGTTCAGAACTTTACTTCCCATCCATTTTCTACTATTTTTAAAACCGATGGCAGATCTTTACACAAATTTGGAATATGAAGAACATCCTGAAAAGTTACATTTTCTATTCTTGTATTTTGCAACCTTTGAAACCAAATTGACATTTCTAACGCCATTCATAAAAATCTCTGTATTATTTACCATAATTACTTCAGATTTATTTTCCTAAAAGTCATCGTTGAGGTATTCAAGTTTGGAACACGTATGAGCGGTTGCACCAGAATCAAAGTACCAATCGCTGTTCTTCAAATGTTGGGTTCCCATAACCATTGGGTTATATTCATCGGGTAATCCAGCCAGAAGCCTAGAATCAATCCATTCTTCGTCTACGTCTTTGTTGAGCAAAATTTTTGGATAAGCCCGACTCTCCTTACAACACCGCTATCTCCGTATATGCCCTGTAATGTTGTCATATCACAGCTTCGTAAAACTACAGAAATACAGCCCTGAGGCTATGCCCGCTTCCTGTCAAATTTTAATGCAACAAGTTGTTTCCATTTATTTAATCATTTTCTTCGTTATTAAAATGAATTAAATAACGGGAAAATGTATGAAATGCCTAGATTTTCTTTCAAAAATATGATCTAAACAGTTCTATCTTCAATTCCATGGCAAAACTGGCGAATAGGTTTAATGCGCGTCTCGTTCATATCACTCTCAACATCATCAGATAATATTGAGTGGAAAAAATAACAAAATTAGCGACATCACAAACACAAAAACAAATGTAAAACCTTTGTTCTCTCCGATTTTTTAGAGATTATTACTTTTTGAAAAATATTGGTTCCAGATGTGTGATGATTATTCGAAAAGTGGAGCAATTAGGTTCAACATTTGCTTTTATTATATGGTAGATTGGGGAATGTTAACCCCGTCAAAAAGGTTTCAGATCTGCAGAAACTTTAATGCAAATTGTAGTGTTGTAGAGTATTTAATGGTCGGCCTTTGCTTACTTGTTTTTTATTGTGTTTAGTGAACACTGAAATATATTGGTAAGTTTTTATTCACATCTTTCGCTCTACGCTTCCATACCTGTGCATTTATTTGAGTATTTTTGCAAAAAATTGTTGATAGAAGTTGTTGCCATAACCATGGCACCGCTAATCGAAAATATTAAACGTGTGAACGGTTATGGTTACGGCAATGTTGTATGTCACGTCTAATTGAACCTTTATAAGTTCGACCAAGAAGACAACATAATAGTTCCTGCACTATTGTATTTCGACCCTCTTTGAATTTGTTTGTTTTTGACAACAAATTTAGTTGTAAAATGGGCTTACTGGTCGACCTTATGTAGGCCAAAGGCTTTTATAAGGTCGGCCACATTTGAAAAATAAGTTTTCAGTTAAAATACATAATTCTGATTCAAAATTTATATAACATACTTTAAGCCGCTTCAAATAATTTGTTGGACGCGCTTAAAATTCTGCTTCAAAATTGTTTATCACGAAATGTAAAAAATATTGCCTTAAGCAGCTGCTTCGCAAATTGTCCACGTTGCATTTTAAACCAAATCAAAACGACAATTTTTATAGTACAAAGCTAAATAGTATAATACAACGTTAAATGTTTACAATCTCAAAAAAATATTGAATTGTTGCCCAGAATTCGTAAGCATTTTATCTTCGCCGCAAAATAGCTGTTTTTTATTATCTGATGTTACTGGATTATTCTGACTAAGTAAATTTTTCCAGTAGAATTTTAAAAACTCTTCGTAACTCAACTATCAAAATTGCTCTCTTTACTCGCACTCATTTTCTGAGTAGATAAACTCACATAACCTATACCCGTTGACCCAAATTCTTAAATGCATAAACAAAACTGTATTGTATTAAAATAATTGAAAACTTAGCCCGCCGAATTATGACACGTATAATAATTATGACAATTAAGGGTCAAATACATGTATTTAGAGGTGTTACGAATTTCTGGACTAATACGAACATACAATACCCTTTCCATAGAATGATGGAGGATATGAACGCTGAGGGATGTGGATCAGTCGCGGAATCCAAAACAATATTTTTCTTAAGTGGAACAACAACGCAAGTTCAGAAATTAAACCAAATGTATCACCTTAATTTATTTTTGATACAATAATTAAATTATTTTACCACAAGCGAAATAATATTATTTTCTACAACTCCAAAGATACATTGAAAGACTTTAGTTAATAATAAACAAATTATTATTTAATAAAATAAAATATGTATGTATATTTGTACGTATGTAGGGATTTTAATTATGTTTACATTATACACTTTTAATTTTCAATTTCCATGATAAGTTAGATTTATTAAATATTAAAATTTAAAATCGTTGTATAATAAAGTACGCTTGCACATACAATATATGTTAATAATAATTACATTTTAATCTTTCTATATTTTGTTTGTGTTAAATATATGGAGGCATGTACAATTTGTGATATCAAATCATCCAACAATATGGGAACGAATGTAGCCAACACACATATCTAATATCAAATCATATTGCTCACGATTACATGCGAAACGACGCTTGTGTAACAACCACGACGAATATATTGCGAACAAGAAAATAGACTTACTTTACCAGCTCCAAACACTGGCATAGATAACAGTGAAAATGACGAATTACATAACAAGACAACCGCTGGATTCATTATGAACTACGGTTCCTGGTGACGGGATTTTGGTCCCAACATTACTGAGTTGTGTTTGACGTGGAGCGGTGGTGCTTAAAGCACTATCCGAACTTAATTGACGAGACAGTATATTTCTTTTATCTTCAAAAGACCAATTGCCATTGACACTTTCGCCACCGTGCTGAATATGATTGGACTGTAAACACTCGACCTGGTGATCCCCTGTTTCTGAAACATCGTTGGGATCGCGGTTCTCTGAATTACGGCCGTTGTTCATATTGATCTGAGCACTTGCCAACGATGAGGAAGCCGGCGACATAGTGGACGCTGACGTTTGAATAAATTGATCCAAAAGATAGATATGAGGCTGCAGCGAAATCATAAATGATCTGTAAATACATTCCGTTTCGAATGACCATAATGCAACACGTTTCAAAGCATTCTGTATGCGACAACATGTTGCCACTGATTCAGATCTTGTAAGAACGTTGATAATGCGTCCGATAGAGGAGGCGTCTTGCAATAGTATTGACAAAACCAGCGCAAAATCCACACAATTCGCTTCGATAAACAACTGCAACAGATATCTCAATTTTATTGCTAACTTCTCAGGTAATTCCGTGCTACAATGAAGTCCAAACGCAAGTGAAGTCGACGACATTTCATCACCTACCGAAAATACACGCCTATAGGACGTGTGATCAAGTGAAGTTTGAGAGTTGGAACGCGACTTGATAAATTCGACATTGGAATTATGAGTTTGCGTCTGCACTAAGGGATACTGAAGTTCTTCATTTTCATTAATGGACGGAATATTCGTGTGAAGAATGGTGTTGCCATTATTCGTACTGGTTGGGGTATCCATTAGCGCTAAACTAAAATATCCCGATTCTGATGTCTGACTTGAGGAATTCGGAATATGCAAGTGTTTATCTAAATTATACCCTTTCTCCAATTGATGATAATCTTGTTCAGAAAAATCTGTTTGTGATGGGCAAGAAGCTGGGGTTGGTAGCTTTAATTCCTCGTGTAATAGATTGATTGCATTCACATAATCTTCGAGACGAGCAGCCTTTTCAGCTTCCTGTGACAACCATGTTACCAAATGAAAATCCAGGAACGCACTCATATAGCCCAGATCAATCAGTTTGCAACTTTGTAAAAGCTTTCTAGCATGCTTCTGTAAAATGCTTTCAATGCAAAAAGTTTCTCGTTTTTCACTTTTTGTGGAATGACTGCGTTCAGACTTTCGTCGAACTACTACAACGGATCCACTGGTACTAGAAGGAACATTTTCCATTGCAGAAGTTCCAGCAAGATTGGATGCCTGTTTTTCCTTCTTATCTTTTGTCGTATTTGATGCCAGTACAGTGGTCGAGAAACTTCGCTCCCTACCTATTGGCCCTAATACTAAGTTGAATGCATCGGGGTTCTGATTAACTTGTGACTGCGATTGTGAGGGAGGTGCAATTTTCAAATTAACCACCATTGAAGAGCGTGGCGAATCGATTTCATTTGGGTCAATTGCCTTAAGAAATCTTATCAGATCTTTGGCCAGCTCCCAGTTTCGATGTTGTAGAGCAATCTCCAGTAGTAGAGTCGCATATTGCTTGCTTATAATGGAAGGCTCAAGATTTTGTAATATTATTAAATAACTTGCAGCTGTTACCAATTCCTCAGATTCCAAACATTGTTGGAACAAGTCTTTTGGCTTTCCAGCAATCGAAAACAGATATGGCCAAAGGGCAATTTCTGTTTTACGCGCACACTGCACGATTGTTTGCAAGTAAACAGGAAACTCTCTTATAAAGTCCAAAATACTTGGTAATAAAGCGTCTGGAATGGGTTCTTTGCTAGTAGCTTCTTCCTCCAAAACCTCGTGCAACAAAAGCTCTAAGGAGTGTGGAAAATACGGAAGACGTCTGCAAGACTGTGCTATTTCCCATGCACTGTATCCTAAATTGCGTTTTATGAGTTGTCTCAAAATCTTATGTAAATATACTTGAGATTTGCGTTCAAGTTGAGAAAATGGCAAAGAAAAATGAGAGTTTGACTCGTTCGTATACAATATTGTTTCGTTCTCCACGCCTAATACAATCACATTATCAAATAATATGACCAAGGGATATAACTTCAATGGGAACGATAACATAATACGTTTAGACATGAACGTATGCAGTCGGTGCGAAGAGTCTCTTCTTTGTTCCGTGGATGGAGGCAATATAGGAAGCCACACTCTCATTCCGTGAATACCAGAAAACAGCCAAAGACAATCGCGCATGGGGCTTCCAACTTGGGTCGAATTGGATAACCAAAAACATTCTACACAGGATGCTAGACAAGATGCCATCAACGAATTTACAACGGCATTATTGTTGTCCCTTTGTATCATCAGTATACGGCCACATACATTGACAATTATGGTTTCTGCTTCTCCGTTTCCCGCTGTAACCATAGATTTGGCGGTCAAATCATTCCGTAAATTAGTGACAGTCAGTGAAACTATACACGCCGGATGAATACAAATGCTTTTGACATCTACCTCATATACGCAATCGGCTTTAAGCGTATACGCGTCACACTTACGCATAGCAAACAATGTAACAATTCCATCTGCTGTTAAAGCAATCAGTTGATCCCGAAACATATTCAGCGATATAACCGGAGCTCTTACTTGTATACGATTTCCAAATTGGTTGTCCAATTTGCACTCTTCCGGATAGCAACGTATTTCGTCTGTACGATCAAGAAGAGAATAGCAGCCGCATACAATAAATCCTTTCCACCACAATAATCCTCCAGACACGACAAAATCTTTTTCTTGGGATTCGTTGCCGAAAAGTTTCCATTTTTTCGTGGGCATAGAATAGTGGGCCAAACCAGTGCGACCAGCGACCGCTATGTGAACACCTTCGGCATCTATAGCAGAGTAACGTATGGGCCAGTTCGTTGCAACATATGTCTGAGGTAATTGTAGGACTGTCCAATATTTGCTCTCTGCCAAAATAGACGATATATCGACTGCATTTTTTACTTCCAAGCAACCGTCTGCTTCTTTTGTGTCCAATGATTGTGTATGTGTGTCTGTTTTATTATTTGGAAAAACGAATTTCCCTCCAAAATAAATTTTTTCCAGGTTATCACCTTGGTTCAAATATAGTGTATCATCGCCTGCAATGAAATCAATAATCAAAAAATTTAATTTCTTGTCTTAGCACAACTTAAAATAATCGAAATAAAACAACGCTGTTGTTATTGTAAAATAAATTTTCAGGGAATAAAATCCAAAAATAATTTAAGTCAACTCAGATTTAATGAATATCCTCAAAACTATCCAAGCAATTGACCACTTAGGAGATAAAATGTTTTCAACCTATTTTTTAATATTCAACATGTATTAGGGTATTTAACTTTTACGAAGAAGAACCCCGCGTGCTTTCACTATCACTTTGGTAAGAGCAGGAATCACAAGCGGCTTGTAATATACGCCAGGTTTAATCCACTTCCCAACACCGATATTCATCCATACGTTTGTTACTAAGCTTAGCAGGTCAGCATGATTTGGATATTGACCAAATGGACGTAGTTACTGTTTTCTTTCAAAATGAGTTAAACGAGGAAATATACATAAAAAATCCTGAAGGACTTCAAAACTCTAGTGGAATGGTCTGCAAATTAAATAAGTCATTATACGGCCTGAAGCAAGATAGTAGAGTTTGGAATAAAAACCAGATTGTACTCTGAAAACAACTGGCGTAAAACAATAGAGCCGTGAGTTTATTACAAGAAAAACAAGGATGAAATTAACTGCGTGGTAACATACGTATATGATATCTTGGTATTTACAAATAGGGAAGAATCGAAACTCTGTATTAAGAAAAGCCTCATTATATCTTGTGAATGAGAGGAACTCAAGATCGTAAAAATGGGAAACTTGATTGGATCAGGAACTCTACATTCGTCATACGTTACAGATGTTCAACACGATTAATGCAATTCTGTTTCGACACCGTTAGATGTAAACCAAAAAATGTCAGAACAGATGTGACCAACAACAGAAAAAGATATAAAGGAAATTAGAAAATTTCCGTACCAAGAAGCCATTGGAAACATACTCTATGCAACACAGGGAAAGCCTTTTGGGAAGCTGTCAAAAGAATTTTGAGGTATCTCAAAGGTACTGTGATGAAAGCTTAAATTTGAAAAAGTCAGATAAAGAATATCTAGAGGGGTTTCCGATGCTGATTGGGAGTGATATCGACGAAAGAAAATCTAATTCAGAATATGTCTTCAAATTTGATGCATTTCTTGGAACACAAAAAAAACAAGAGACTACAGCTTTGTAAAAGCATTTAAAGCGATATTAATTTAACAGTATATAGCGCTTACCATGCCAGATCCAAACATATTGACATTAGACATCATTTTATGAAAGAACTTGTGAAGAATGAGAACATAAGGTTTTAATATCTGTGTACAAAGGATATGGTAGCAGATGTACTTACCATGGCACAATTATAGAACGTAGAACATGTATGTGTGTGTATTGTTTTGAATAAGAAATACAATAATTTGAAATTATTTCAAGTTTTGGTTGCAAAATAAATGCATATTTTCGACGTTAATGTACAACACATTTTACAATTTTCGGATATTGTCCTACTATTTTAGAATCAATCTTGTGGGATAACCCCAAAATTTCATTCTTGTTTTGCGGGTTTTCCCCAATATAAAAATGTTGTTTAAAAAATGAAAAATAAACAAAAGTAACTGTTGCATATTTAAAAGTATATTTGACACGACAAGACTCCAGCATAGAGTTGCATTTTTCTGGTTTCATTGGAGTTGATACACCTTTTTTATTGAGCCATGGTTGAAATCTTAAATACAATAACAAACAATTATAACATTTCTGATAACCCTGTTCCAGAAAGAATTAATTGTAAAAAAACCGGCGATGAATAACCCACACAATTCCTTAGACATGCAGTTCGAAAGGGTTTTTAAGAAAATGTTGCCTGTCAATACGGTAGGAAAGAGAACAAGTAAAAAAAGCAGTAAGTTCGGCCGGGCCGAACTTTGAATACCCTCCTCCATTTGGAACGAACTAGGACATTTAAAAAAATAAAATATAATATCCATTAAAAATTACGTTAAAATCTTTAAAATACCTAATATCGGAAGGTGCCGATATATGGGGGGATAAACGATATAGTGGACCTATATTGGCAAATCTGTGTGTAGGGGTAAAGAACTCACAAGTAACTCCTTGTGTAGAATTTAAGACAATTCCGTTTAAAAATGTGACTATAATCATCAAAATACCAAATATAGGGGGGTACCGTTATATAGGGGCTATACGGTATCGTGTACTCAAAGGAACTCCTTGTGTGGATTTTATCTACATATAATGTTATCTACATATAATTATCTTTCAATGAATAAAGTAAACACAAGGAACTCGTTGTGCGGATTTTCAGACCATTCTTTTTCAGGGGGTAAAGTGCTCACAAAGAAATTCTTGTGTAGAATTTCAGACAATTACGTTAAAATACCGAATATTGGGGGGTTCCGTTATATGGGGGCTATACGATATCGTGGACCTATATAGATAATTATCTTCCAAGGGATAAAGTACTCATTTTTAGATAATTCTATTGGAAAATGAGGCTATAATCATCAAAATACCGAATATCGTGGGGTACTGTTATATGGGGGCTATACGATATCGTGGACCGATATAGCCCATCTTCGAACTTGACCTGCCTGCAGACAAAAGAGAGATCTGTGCAAAATTTTAGCTTTCTGTCTTAATTCGTTTTGACTGTAGCGTGATTACAACAGGGCTAAATCGTCTTAGAATTTTACGCTGATTATTTCGCTAAGTTACAAATGGGCACTACAGCCTATGACAAAATATTTCCTATGCAGATCCACGTCTTCGTATAGTCCCCATATAACGGTTTTCATTTAAGTGGTAGTTTTCGGATTTTTTTTGAAATTCTTCAATTTCCTTCGAAATGGACCAATACTGGTCTTTAGACTCTTGACCTTCAATTAGAGCGCAATCGTTAACGCCTTTTGGTCCTGATAACATTATACCAGTCCTGATCTGACCCAAAATGCATCTGTGTCGGTGTTGACCATCTTGCAGGAGATTTTTAAGGTTTGTGTTTCCTAACCCGTTCATACGGCACGATTCGTAATTCACAGTAAAATAATTACTTTTTTCAAAAAGTTTATTTGTTGATTTTAATGAGAATTTATAAGAATTTCTCACTAATATGAGTAGAAAAAATTATTGTTTTTCTCCCAAAGATTTATTATATCATTAATTTTACAATTTTCATTCATGTTTTCAACTTTCTGTGTAAATGTTGACATTTTGAATATATTTTTGTATTTTTCTAATATTAAATTCTGCTGGAGAGACACTTGTCAAACATTTTTTCTGCCGATACAAACATTTTGAAAATATTGCATCTTTTGTTTCCAGTTTTCTGTGGAAATTTCAACTCGTGGACAAAATGCGCACTTCGGATGAGAGAGAAAACAAAATTTACTTTCCTTTGAATGTGCATACGCCATTCAACATTGTAGTTTTCATTCATAATTTTCAGTCTTCCCAAAAATTTTTTAAATTTTATCAAATTTTTCTAGTTTTAATTTTTAAATGTCATAATTTATTTTTTCGATAAATGCTCTTATTTGTTAGGGATGGGACATATTTTTTCGTTGTTCTGAGAGTGATTTGATTTGCACAATGTACAAATATGAGGGTTCGCTCAGAAAATTTTGTGTGAAGAATTAAGTAGTTTTTTCACAATTAAAGAGTCAAACAAAGAATAGAGAGCGAATCAAGTGTAGTGGAAACGCCACATTAAGTAATGGTCGAACAAGGAAAAGAGAGCGATATCAATATAATTTTACAAATTTATTTGTAGACCAAATTCCGTTACACAAATTTGGAGACCGCATCTGTAATCAATCAATAGATATGTGCTTATAAACTCTAATTTTTTTGGAGGTACCTCCGATTCTGATGATATTCCTGCAGTTCTAAATGGAATTCCAAAAATTTATATAGCCTATGTTGCATTCAGGTGATGTTGTGGTATACTTGGAAATGTTCAGGAAAATCTGCTCAGCGTTTTTCGAGTATATAAATTACAAACCAACAATCAAACTTACAAACATTTTCTCCTTTAAAGATATATACATACATATGTCAAAAGTCTGTCAAGGGAGACCGCCTTACAAGAAATTGTCGGATACATTGAGAGAAATATGAATAACTTCCACCATTTGGATGAAAAAATACAGTTATATGATTCTATACAAAAATGTGAAACGAACTCGAAACAACAAGTTTGAGATAATCCTGTTAAAAAGTCTTAACTAAAATCACAAAAATACCAAATATTAAGAGGTACCGTTATGTGGGAGGTATACGAAGGCGTGGGTCTACACAGGAAATTTTCAGTCATAAGAGGTAGTACCCATTACGAACACGAAATACACAAATTTGAAACAATTCCGCTGAAAAGTGTGACACGTGAAGCCATCAAAACACCGAATATCTCTAAATACAGTTATTAGGAACTAGACCAAAAGTTGATCCTTTATGGATAATGGATTTAATAATTTTTTACATTCACAGAACACAAATTTCCAATTTACAGCAAATTTCGTGTTTATATTGTGAATAAACCATCAAAAGGACCTTAAATCTATATACCTAAACGTGGACCTATATAGACTATTTTCACAACTAAAAGTTGTGCGAGCTGAGTAAAATTCTATCAACCTATAGATATAGAATTTTATGCTGATCAAGAATATATACTTTACAGGACATAAAATGTATCGGGGAATGGCAAACTTAATATTGTTGGGATTGATGATTCCATTAATTTAAAATTTTGCAAAATGTACGAACCCGTTGTGATGAGAATCTTCGGCTCTTCCCACCCGCCAGAAGCAAAAACCCAAAGGTCCAAAATGTTTCAACTGTCAGAAATTTGAACATATTGCTGTTAAATGCCCTATTAAGTCCAATACAAAGAAGAAGATAAATATTACGATTGACATTTTTTTTTTTTTGTAAGCAGCACTACTAAGGAAGATTAGTATTTTGATTCTGGAGCTTCGGATCATATGTCTTCTAATAAGATGTTCTTCAATGGGAATCTTCAACCCAAGACAGCTGAAGTGACAATTGCACACAACTGGTAATGGTAACTTTTTGGAAAATGGGTCTTAAACGAAATTACCACATTTAATCAAGAACGCTATTCATGTGACTAATCTCAAAATAAACCCCAAACTTTTGGTAATTTAAAGCCAACTAATTTATAATATATTGGAATGTTACACATTTCACAAAGAGCAAACTATCTGATGAATATGAGCTCAAGGATTCATTATATTAGTAACATTTTGGCTTTGGTGGCGTTATTCCGCATAACAGCAACTATAATAGAGAATGTATAACAAGTTAGTTTTTCTTATATTTTTGATAGGAGAAATGTACAATAAATGTAAAACAAGCGCTGCATATCGTGCGAGAATGTGTACTGAAAACATGGGAGAAATGTACAATAAAGTGAATGTAAGAATGTGTACTCAAAACAACATTCATCTTCTATTTTATATTTGGTTAACTAAAAGTATCTGTTGTCCGTAATTCAAAAATCCTCAATTGTAGAATTAATTGATTTGTTATGTACTAACCTTGCAACAAGATATGGGGATGAGCTGTCATACATGGATTCATCGTCAACGCGCTCTTTACAAAACTCAATTGACATACGTTGGTGTAAGGCTCATCGATGTGCTGCTCTTCATTTTTCCGACCTTTGCAAGTCAAGAACAGTTGATAGCCCTCGGTGGACCATTCTAATTTGCTCACACACAAAGGATTGTCGTGGATCAAATCAACATTTATACCAAAATCCCAGGAAAATGATGACATCAGAAGTGCCCCAAATGTACTCCATAAAGCAATTCCACCGTTTTCCCAAGAAACAGCCAAAACACAACCATCTGGACTCCATTTGAGCTCGTTCACCGCACCTAGAGTACCAGGCATTACCGTTGAATTTAACGAAAGGCGATGAGAAAATTCCAAGCCGCCAGTTCCATCTTCGATGCCGTAAACAGAAATGTCTGCATTTGCTCTCCCATATGCAAGCAAACGGAATTTATGGTTTACGCTACAAACGGTAGCATCCTCAATTTCAGGGATCCAAAATCCATGCATGTTTGCCGCTTCAAATCTAAGGTGGTTTGCAATTAAGAATGCCGCTCTTTTATCGCTAAATACCGCGGCACAGCCTCCAATAAACGGCGAATATTCGAGGGCTGCAACAAAAGAGCCTGTACTGACTGGTGGAATAGATTTCAAGCTGCATTGCTGATTGACGTAGAACTGTATTTGTCGCAAATTTATAGCATCAGCAACAGTTGTCGAGCTTCCAACTTCTGCCGACTCCAAGTCACACCACTGCAGTCGCATTAGCTCACAACGTTCCGTTGCTACCAGAAGTTCTGTTAAACTAATGCAACATACCGTTGTCACAATTGAACTAAGTTCCACAATGCAAACTTCCTTCAGACTTAGCTTTGGAATATTCTCCTTAATAAATAGTTCAGCAGAGTCCCGTTTTAAACTGTAATGCGGAGAGTCCATTTGGAGAAATATTCCACTTCCGTTTCCATCGAAATCTACTTGATAGAGTATTAAAACACCACCAGTCGTAAGCACTATCAATTGTCGTGAATCTGGCTTCCAAACAACTAACTTATTTTCTCCGTAGCTTACCACTGATTCCACGCTTCTACGATAATAGACGATTGGAACCAGTGGATTCGCATACCAAATGCCTAAAAAGTCGTTTCCCGCCGCAGCCAAGAGTATTTTCACTGCATCAAAGCAGATGTGTTTTAAATTATTACTTTCTCCAGGTAGAGCCAAGTTAATGGTTTTTGGCCAGCCAATTGGAAAATACATTTTTGCTTATCTGGAAAATTCAGGAATGTGTAATGTCTATACATTTTGCTCAATTTAAAGAAAACTTTACCGTACTCTATTTATGTGCAATCTTCCCCAGTTAACATTTTACACTTGAGTTTAATTGAATTATGCGGAAATATAGAAAATAATATTCAACGCCACTACACATTTACACACGAATGATGAAGAGCAAAACCAAATTACAAAGCATCTATTAAAAAGCCGTCGCCGTAGAAATAAAAACAAAACGGAATGACTGATAAGGATCACAATCAAAACAAAAACACTGACTAGATGTATGGCTCTGAAGATCGAAAATGGGACTAGTATAGGGTTTTACAAACCGAAAGCAATCACCGGTATATGTAGTTGCCACAAAATTGCAAGTATAAGTAAATATGCGGTGTTCCAAAACAGGGGCTGGATTCTTGTTCTATGAAAATATGAAATGAAAAATTTTTCTTTTATAAAATTATTCATTTGACATTTCTTTCCTTTATAAAAAATTTCATTTCAAATTTTCATAGAACAAGAATTGAAGCCATCACACCTTGTAAAAGTTTTCACTTGTCACCTGAACCCATGGTACAATAAAATCAAGGTAGCGTTATGATAACATATGATTTTAATATTTTTATTTTCTTGGTACAATGTGTCAACTTTATTCGTTTATATGTGTTAATTCTGTTCAATAATTAAAAAAGTTGTTCAAAAAATATTCAAATTCGGGGGGTTTTTAACTTCAAAATCTATAGTTTTGCAGCGAAATAAACTTTTAGAGATATATTGAACACAATTTTGAAAATAAATTTTCATTCATTCAGTTTTCGCTGTTTTTAATTATTTATTCAAAATCAATGCAAGAAGTTGTTTGTTTTTTGATCATGGTTTCATCGTTTTGATAGTAATTCTGACATTACAAACCAAACACCAACCAAATTGAAATTTTTCAAAGTTAGCCTACCTATGAAGAGAAGGTAGGCCCATGGTACAATGAAGAGAAGGTAGGTCAACTTTGAAAAATTGCAAATATAGAGGTCTACCTGTTTGGCTTGTAATGTCAGAATTAGTGTCAAAATAATAAAAAATCAAACAACTTGTTGCATTGATTTTGAATAAATAATTTAAAACCGCGAAAACTGAATAAAAGGTCAACATTTATTTTCAAAATAATGTTCTATATATCTCTTATGGTTTATTTCGCGACAAAAACTGTAGACTTTGTCGATGCATACGTTGCAATAAGCATTTTAAAAACACCCGACATGTTAAGCCAGAAAAATAAAAAATTGAAATCATATGGTAGTTCTGCCCTACCTTGAATTCATTGTACCATGGGTAGGCCAACTTTGAAAAAATTGCAAGTATAGAGGTCTACCTGTTTGGCTTGTAATGTCAGAATTAGTATCAAAACAATAAAAAATCAAACAACTTGTTGCATTTATTTTGAATAAATAATTGAAAACCGCGATAACTGAATGAAAGGTCAACACTTCTTTTCAAAATCATGTACTATATATCTGTAAAGGATTATTTCGCTACAAAAACTCTAGATTTTTCGATGCATACGTTGAAATAAACATTTTGAAGGTACACGAATTTTAATGTTTTCTGAACAATTTTTTTGTTAATGAAAAGAAAACACATACATTAACAAATAAAGATGACATATTAAGCCAAGAAAATAAAAAAAAAATTAAAATCATATGGTATCATAGCCCTACCTTGATATCATTGTACCCATGGTACAATTAATTCAAGGTAGGGCAGAACTACCATATGATTTCAATTTTTTTATTTTTCTGGCTTAATATGTCAACTTCATTTGTTTATGTGTGTGTATTTTTTCAATAATAAAAAATTGTTCAGGAAATATTCAAATTTGGGTGTTTTCAAAATGCTTATTGCAACGTATACCTCGACAAAATCTACAGTTTTTGTCGCGAAATAAACCATAAGAGATATATAGAACATGATTTTGAAAAGAAATTTTGACCTTTCATTCATTTTTCGCGGTTTGAAATTATTTATTCAAAATAAATGCAACAAGTTGTTTGATTTTTTATTGTTTTGATATTAATTCTGACATTACAAGCCAAACAGGTAGACCTCTATACTTGCAATTTTTTCAAAGTTGACCTACCTTGATATCATTGTACCATGATTGTACCCATGGTACAATGAAGAGAAGGTAGGTCAACTTTGAAAAAATTGCAAGTATAGAAGTCTACCTGTTTGGCTTGTAATGTCAGAAATAGTATCAAAACCATAACAAAATCAAGCAACTTGTTGCATTTATTTTGAATAAATAATTGAAAACCGCGAAAACTGAATGAAAGGTCAACACTTCTTTTCAAAACCATGTTCTATATATCTCTAAAGGATTATTTCGCTACAAAAACTCTAGATTTTGTCGATGCATACGATGAAATAAACATTTTGAAAACATCCGAATTTAAATGTTTTCTGAACAATGTTTTTGTTATCGAAAAGAAAACACATACATAAACAAATAAAGATGACATTTTAAGCCAAGAAAATAAAAAAAATTGAAATCATATGGTATCATAGCCCTACCTTGATATCATTGTACCATGATTGTACCCATGGTACAATGAAGAGAAGGTAGGTCAACTTTGAAAAAATTGCAAGTATATAGGTCTGCCTGTTTGGCTTGTAATGTCAGAATTACAATCAAAACAATAAAAAAGCAAACAACTTGTTGCATTGATTTTGAATAAATAATTTAAAACCGCGAAAACTGAATGAATGGTCAAAATTTCTTTTCAATATCATGTTCTATATATCTCTTATGATTTATTTCGCGACAAAAACTGTAGATTTTGTCGATGCATTCGTTGCAATAAGCATTTTGAAAACACCAGAATTTGAATATTTTCTGAACAATTTTTTATTTTTTTATTTATTTTTTATTTATTAAAAATTGGTTTGACAGTTCATTGTCCCAGCATCTATGCGATGCGACTACCTGTATTCTTTTACTATAGTTTTGAAGTTTGTTTGGTTGCAGCGAATTCAAATTTAATTGACAGATCGTTTGGTAATCAGCCTAACTGGAAGGGGGACCTTATACTTTGATCATGATTCTGACATTACAATCCTTACGGGTAGACCCCTATACGTACAACTTTTTCTAAGTTAGCCCACGTTGTCTTCATTGTACCATGGTATTACCTAAAATTCAACGTAGCATACACCAATATTCAACTTCGCCACTATGGTAAAATTTTTTGTACGCCTGTGTTATTCAAATGCGCCTCGACGTATTTGGGTAACTTTCATATAAATACATGCGTTTTACTTGTGTGGTGAAAAACGTCGACTGAGTACGTAGCATTTTAAGAAACGCCCTCAGTGTTCAAATTCAGTGGTGAAACATTGAAACCTTTGTTGAATAAGTGTAGCTATGGAATCAGCTAATAAAGCGCCTTCGAATGTTAAATCGGCAGATTTCAACAGATGTCGTTGTTGACAAATAATTGGCAGATGTGTTTTAAAACGGCGGTTCTAAATATTTCTCCGCTCTGTACTTTTTATAAATACGTGAATATTTGGCTGACTATCTATGTTTTTCTTCGTTTTATAATCACTTTGACAATAATCTACTTATCGCAATATTAACTTAAATGTCTTTGGAATTATGGCAATGTTCTAGCATAACTGAAGCAAGTCAAGGTGCATTCCATTCTACAAAGTTACCGCCACGAATCAGAAGATAGTCATATACTACGTCGTATTATTACAACAAAACAATTGCAAAAACAAAGAACAACACAATAAAGTAGAAATGTTTGCCAGGGAACAAGATAGTCCGGAACAGGAAAAAATTCTTCAGCACTTGAAAGAACTATTTTGTACGACACCACTTTGGAAGCTACGAAAAGTTTGTATTACAAATAATTGGAACTGTACGTATCATTTAAACGTTGAACTACGTTAGATATTTTCATGGTATCTGCATTATTACAGTGGATTTGTGTGTAAACCAAATGACAAGTAACGAAGGCAACCCCCCAACAACAAGTGATGACGCGAAAACGGATTCCGCTTTCAATCCTGATGACATAGCTCCAAAGCCACCTCGAACGGAAACCGAACCTTTGTCCGCACAGGCACAGAAAGTTGGCAATCTCATTAAGCAAGGATATCGTGTTATGGTGCTGATGCGTGGACTCCCTGGAGTAGGGAAAACATATTCCGCTCGTTCTATTGTAAAAAATTATGTCGACTTACAACCACCATTTTGTTCTGTTGGGGACTTTATTTTTAGCACTGACGACTATTTTTACAACGCCAAAGGTGTCTACAAGTACAATGTAAATCTTCTGAATGAAGCACATGAATTCAATCAATATCGAGTTCGAGAGAAAGCAATGAGCGGGTTCAGTCCAATTTTTGTGGACAATACAAATATGAAAGCCTGGGAGATGTTGCCTTACGTAAAATGTGCTATAGAAAATGGATATCTAATTGAAATAATTGAACCAAAGCCCTCGTGGAGAAAATCGCCAAATGTGTTAGCCCGACGTAATTTGCATGGAGTTCCTGCGGACAAAATTCGACATATGATAGATAAATATGAAAAAACAAGTGTTCCTGAATTGTTGAAGGCAAGTCACATACATACAATTCTTTATTCCCTTCACCATAAAGTAGAATGCATGTTTAAGTTTCCGGGCCGTTGGCAAAATATTGAAATATTTCCCAAGACCCCATAAAGCACATATTCGTTATAAGATCGTCTATTGCTAAAATTATCAAAATACGGAATTTGAATCAATTTCAGTGATTACAACACACAGACATATTTAATTCGTAGAATTCTACTACGCTGATCAAGAATATATGAATTTTGGTAACCCCCGCTATTCGGTATTTTAAAGTTTTCAGCTCAAATTTCGTAATTTATTTTGTATTATAATTTAAATGTTGATCTTAATATTAGATCTATATTAGCGGTACTGGTCTAACTTAAGATTTCTGACTTAACTGTTTGTATTTTTAAACTGTCCAACAAAAGATTTTTTTGCAATCTTTTCAATACGATCCCTATTTATATACCCAGAACCACGTTCTCTATTGAACGGATAAAATATAGTAAATCATATTGTTTCACTTCGGTAAACTTAATTGTGGAAAGTATAAAAAGTTGTTCCGCCCGAACTAAAGTAGATTAGCGATAGCTATATATATATATATATATATATATATATATATATATATATATATATATATATATATATATATATATATATATATATATATTTATATATTTTGTATATTTTGTTTTGTATATATATACATTTTACTGTTAGTAACATATGTATACATTGAAATACTTTCAACATCCAAGTATTCTTTCAGTTAAAATTTTGTTGACTTTCGTATTTTTTTCTGATTTCTTGTAGATGTTTAAAACAACAAAGTATACTGTTAGTTTGCCACAATTTCGCAGTATACCACCAATAGCCAACGTGGTTTCACCAAATGCCGATGAAAAAGACAAAACCGTTGTTGGACAGGAAAGTCAAACAATGGAACTGCCACACTCTAAAGACACAGACAAATCTAACTGGACCCCGTATGACACAAACGCGCCGAAAGATCAGCGTAAGAAGTTTAAGTCAAGTGCTTCGCCCCCAAAACAGAAGCAAAAACTCGATGAGGAATTAAAACCAAATTCTCAACAAACATCTTCGCAAATTCCGATAAAGTCCGCTTCTGAGCGAGATGTATATAGTTTGCTCGAACAAAAGTTGTCCAATGCTTGGAAGCCATACGAAGCCGAGTCGATAGACTTTTGGGGCCCGGATCTGCAGTCGGTACAAGTAACTCCCTCATTTGATAAAAATAAGATTAATGTAAGCGCTGATAGGGGCAAGTCATTAATTGATCTTTTGCGAGACCACGATACAGATAAGGATACTATGGCCTTGAACATAAAGAACAATGAAGAAATTACTTCTTCCTCGTCTTTCACCCGCCATAGTATTGATTGTCCCAATGAGAATGCTTCATTTATCACACTAAGACAAATATATCCCAATAAGGAAATCGGTGGTCTGTGGGATCTCTTTGTGAAATGTAACGGGGACATTGACTGGGCAGTGGATATTTTGTTGAAAGAAGATGAGTTGTCCAAACTCCGAGGAGACACAGAGCTACAAGATAATGATAACGATTTTGACGAGTTTGTGTGCTCATGCAAACTTACCCCGAATGAACCTCAAGTACGGGCTGAGTTGGAATATCCTGTATCACACAATGAATTACATGTGGGTGCTAATGAAACCAATGTGGACAGCAAAGAGACAAAACCTTCTCAAAGACCACAACGTCAGAGGTTCGCTCGTCCAAGACTAGCATACGATCGCAATCTATTAGAAGTGAAAGAAAATATCGAAAACTGTTTTGTTCTAGGAGATAGTCACTACTCCAAACATGTATTGAAGATAAGAAATTCTAGAAATGGGTTAACATCCGGAGATGGTACTTCTATAGCCACAACCCAAGAGTGTGAAGACAAAGGTGAAAATATAGATGAGTCTTCCAATAAAGAAAATGACGACGATGTTGATGAAGACATTGGCAATGAAAGTAACGAAAATGAGGCTATGCTGGAAATGTCCCTCGGTGAACATTTAGTTCAGCAACTACTCGATAATTTCCGCAATGAGTCTTCTTTTGAAGAACAAGTTCCATCCACACTACCACTCAATTTAAAGGTATTTATGCCACGTTCTCTGGCCAAGCAGTTGTACATGTTATGGATAGAGTCAGCATATAATCATTTGGAAGAGGAGCGCCAGCAAATGATGCGAGAAGATGAAGACTTTGCACGTCTTCTTAAGCACCCAAAATATTCCGAATATAAACAATCACCAAGTAATTTACGTGAAATGTTAGACATTGAATATGCTTGGAATCTGTACAAGAGAGATAAAGAAGGCATCGATATGCAAAGAAGTGAAATGGAAAAACTTTCACAACCTACGGACCTGGCCGCACATCTCACTCAGATGAAACTCTGCGAAACGTTCCCAGACATTCCACGCGAAACACTGCTCGATATTCTATCCTCGACAGACAACAATTACAAAGAGACAGTATCAATTTTACAAAGCACCATGCACGACGCAGAGACAATGGACACCCATCTGGAGGACGTCGTAAGTATTAAAATTAATTTAAATTACATTAAAATAACATTATGTTAACATTCACAGCAAAACTCTAATGAATATCAAAAGCAAAGTCGGACTTCGAATGTCAACGTTTGGGATGACGAAAATAATACTAGAGATCCTTCCTTTTCGCCAGAAGCAGCGAAACGGCTAGCGCTGAAGGAATTCGAAGAAGCTCGCAACCTTGCAGCGCACCACTGTCAATTGAGGGCCGAATGCTACCAAAAGGCCAAGGAAGCTATACAAGCAGGCAATGGTGGTGCAGGTCTTTACTATTCTCAAATAGCTAATTTGCATAAACAGAAAATAGATATGTACAACCATCGAGCCGCAAACTGTATAATGAACGTCCACAAATATACCCAAAATAACCCCGACCATTTAGATCTTCACTATTTTCACCTCTTAGAAGCGATGGCATGCTTAGACCTGTTTCTAGATCGTCATATCACATCTTTACGTTTGGCTTCAAGAAATTATAAATTTGTTTTTATAATAACTGGTCGTGGAAAACACAGTGCCGGAGGCGTTTCCGTCATCAAGAGCAAGGTAAAGGCAAGACTTGAGGAGCGTTGTCTGAAGTAAGTCCATATGAAATGCACCAGCATTTAAACTTGCAACAACCTGATTAACATAATTAAATTTCTTTATAGATGGAGCGAAGTAAATCCTGGTTTATTGAAAGTGAAAGTATTTTCCGGTTCACGCCATTCGCAGAATTTCTGACTGAAGCAGGTAAATACATCTACTGTTACTTAGTTCCAGCTATCGTGATCGCCTTCCTGTCTATATTACCTGAATATTCACTTATTAAGAATAGATTACAGCAGTAGTCGAAAAAATTACAAAGCTATGCTACAACAAGACGGAGGATGTACAAAGGCACCACATGCAATGTCTACCTGTTTTTGTACTAGGAATTCTGCGTTTTTAATTTTTATGATTTTTAAAACTACCATGCAATCGTACAACTGTTGTAAATAGATAGTACTTATTTATGTACATACGATTTTTTTACCAATAAAATATAAATATATAGTTTTTATTTTCAGCGTTTTTGTCTAACTCAGATATGTTTTTAGCCCGAATTTTAACAGTTAAAATCAGCCTACGAAAATAAACTATATCACACGTTTGCAATCCTTTCGTTCTGTACATTTTTGAAGTATGGAACGAAACAAAACGGATATAAAGGTAACGGAACTTGTTTGTTATTTTGTACGATTTGTGTAGATGAGTGGAAACAAAGCAAAACTGAAATGTACTCTGCTGGATGACGCAATATTGGAAACGAAACAGTACAAAACTCATCGCATACGTTTTCAAACGTTTCCCTGTATATTAACTCATTACAAATAATGTACAAAGAAATATTAAGATAAAATCTTTCCTTTTTATCATTTATTTCACCATCATAAAATGTAGAAAAGTATAACAAACAATATTAAGAATAACAACGCTCAATTTACCACTTATCGTTTCACACAGCAAATGTTTCCCGGCGATTCGTTTGCAAATGAGACAGCTCGGGAATCGTTCTGTCTGTGTACTTCTGGCATTGAAAAATTTGAGGTTTTGTTTTGTTCGGAGTACAAAACGATTGATTGAACGTTAATCGTTTCGTTTGTTTTCGTAATTGGTTATCTCAAAAGCCTACATAAAATAGACAGGACTAGCGAAGAACCTATAGATGGAAAAATTTGGAAAATGCTTGGCATATAAATGTCAATTCGTAAATTAACCCTTCTTGCAGAGTGGTGGAAATTTCCATCATATCTATTATTGTCCAAAATGTAAATGCAACTGGCGGTAAAAGTATCTTGAAATCCGATATTTATTAGTTTTAATAAATTTATGATTTTGTCTTCAATTTTGTTCTGCTTATTTGAGTTTATCTTGCACAAAAAGGAAAAACAAGTTTATAAATGGTTTGTAACATCCGTTTATGTTGTTATTAGAGTCGATTTAATTTTGAAAATTTTGTACATATTTTGTGAATTTGAAATAAAAATAATTCAAGATTATTTTATTTTTTACAATGGGCTCACAATGTTTTTTAACAACAAACAAATCGCGTGAATATGCCAGGTACATTTGACCTAAGAAAAGCAGGAACATGATAAATGTTGATCGGCATTTCTGTTGCTATTAGCCTCAACTAAATTGTTGTGTAGTTTTTTACGCCATTGCAATGGCGTGGTGGGTCTTAATACAATAACATCCAAATCTGAACCGATTTGAATTTGATAATAATAATAATTTGACAATTTTTTGACCAAATTTTGTCATACATCCAAATTTCTTTGAAATTTGACATACTTAGCGCGATTGTTGCATCAAAAATACGAAATCGACAGAAAATATGTAGGGCCGATTTTAAATAATTAGATTTTAATATAATTAGGCAAATTTATTTATTTAGCAAATTCCGTCACATGTTTCAAATTTGATAGGAATCGTGTTTGGTGCATGAAATACGTAAAATAGGTTGAAAATATATCTGTGGGAGCAATACCCAAATCTGAACTGATTTTAATATAATTTGGCAATTTTATTTATGTATCAAATTCTGTAACATATTTTAAAGTTCATTGAAATTGAGATATATAAAGTGTTTTGCTGCATCAAATAAATGAAATAGGCCGAAAATGTATATATGGGTGCTATATCCAAATCTGATATAGCAAATTCCGTCACTCATTCCGAATTTCACTTGAATCGGACATATACACTGGTGGCCAAAACTAAAGCAACTGAAATTACAAGGAGAATGAATGCCCTGTAACTTTTTCAAAAATTAAGAAAATGAGAAAGTTTTTCTTGTTTTAAATTAGGTACTTTATTCACTTTTTAAAAACCTAAAACATAAAACCAAAATTCATTTTTATATAAAAAATAATGTTTGGTTAAGTCAATTAACCCAATTTTGGCTTGGACAAAACAAAAGCAACTCTGTTGTACATTCATATAACCGCTGCAATTTCAGTTGTTTTTACTGTGATATTTATCGCTTTTTGCTTCATTCGACAATTTCGCTTGTCATAAATCCTTTTTGAGAAGTTTTTTACAACAGTATGTGTTTTTCTTTTCGTTTTTTAAGTACTGCCCAAAAAAATTTTAAAAATGGCTAAAAGCAAATACAGTACCTGAATAAAACAGCAAATTATCAGTGACTATCAAAACAACATATCACAGAAAATGATTTCCGAGAAATATTTCATAAATATTTATGTGATTTCATAATTATTTCAGTATACTAAGTCGGTTTTTTGAAACTGGATCAGTAGTAACAGTCTATAACGGATGATGGCCGTGAAAAACTTCAGCTCGTACTGATCCACAAATTGTGAGAGAAATAAAAAAACAACCATTTAAAAGTTCAACTGGATTGGTGAGAGAGCAATCATTGGATATAAGCTCGAGATCAGTGCGTAGACGAGTAGTGGCAGCTGGTCTGCATGCCCGTAATACATCAAAAAACCATTCATATCTGAAAAAATCAAAAAGGCTTTCGGAAACGATAATAGTAAGTGGAATCAAACTCAATGGAAAAAACATTATTTCTGGGATGAGTCTACGTATAATATTAAAGGCTCAGACGTGAAAAATTTCACGGTGAGAAGACCAAAACATGAAGGACTCAAGCCGCAGTGCTGCAAAGGTACAGTGAAGCATGAGGGACGGTCAAAAATGGCGTGGCGCTGTTTTTCTTTCTATGGACTTGGGCCTATCCATAAAATAAAGGAAGTTGTGGATCGGTTTGTTTACAAAGATGTGTTGGACATCACGTTGTTCCCTTACGCTGAGTAAAATATTCGGCTGATTTGGGAGTTTCAGCATGACAATGATCCCAAACTTGTATAAAAACTTGTCCAATATTGGTTGCGGGAGTCAAAAATTCATGTTTTGTTATGGCCGGCACAATCACCTGACCTAAACTCCTTAGAAAACCTTTGGAGTATCGTAGATAGGAAGATCAAGAGAGATTCGGAAATAAATAAGCACAACATTTTCTAAAGAATTCGGGGTGCCTGGGAAAGCACACCGAAGGATCAAATTGAGCGTGTTATAGATTCAATGCCTCGTAGGTGTGCAGCTGCTATCAAAAATAATGGTTATGCTATCGACTACTAGCCAAAATTTAATTATTTTAAAATAAAAAATAAAAAATTGCTTTAGTTTTGACCAAGCAAAAATTGGGTCATTTTAGTTTTCCACATATTATTTTTCGTTCAAAATTGTTTTTCTATTTTTATTTTTAGTTTCTTAAAAGTGAATTAAACCCCTCATTTAAAACTGGAAAAATAATTACGATTTGTTTATTTTTGTAAAAGTTACAGGACATTTATTGTCTTTGCGATTTAAGTTGCTCTAGTTTTGGCCACCAGTGTATATCGTATTTGGTGCATCAAACACAGCAAACTACTGGTGCATCCACCATACTCATTCACATTTCCTAAGATTTGTTGTTAACATTATACAAATTTGATGTGTATGCGGTTTGAAAATTGAAAGATAATATTGTGTGTTTTTGAAACATGACTATAGTTTTATTTATCATATAGGTACATACACATAAATCAATATTTGATAATAGATATGAGGAAATACACACGACTGCGTAAAATAGATTTAGTTTATGAATCGTTTTGAATAGCGGACTGTTTTTTTTTTCAAATAAAACACGATTAGAGAATACACAAAATCAGAAGTGTACTGAGAAAATTATATATATATTTGTATCTAAATAATACTATTTAAACATCTAGGAAAATCCATGGTCTGCACGTGTGTTGGGACTAAAATCTAAGGAATTGCGATGTCGCAAAGGCGATTCTGGTTTTGACTGTGGCGATTTATTTTCTTTCCCACTTTGCAGGCGGTTCAAAGCCACTTTTTCCAGCAGACTTTTTCTGCATCGAGAATTACGTGGGTAGTGTGTGTTGCCATTTGACCGAGGTGGCGTATTCAGAAATACACCTTCAAATATTGTCTCTAAACTACTAGTTCGACTAAGGCACGATTCGTCCTCGGGCTGTTCACTATTATCACTTGGCGGACTTATTTGAGCATTTATATCTTGAAGCGCCACGTAGTCAGGATTGTTGTGGCAGGGGCTAGGGGCAAGTCTTTCCTTTGGGGCAGGTCTTGTCGGTGTCGCCATATCCTCACTGTCAATAGGCGAAGGTGTGCGCCCAAGAGGCGATATCAAACGTACTTCGAATGCCGGTAACTCATCAATATCAATGGGACTCGAATAGCTTTCCATTTCCCTATCCAAACATAGCGATAAGGACGACAATTCACTATCGTTAGACACAGTGGAGCAATATGAAGATTGTAAGCGGTAGGAAGTGTTGACAACTTCTCCTGAACTATCCAGAAGTCCGTTGACGTTGGAGTTCGAAGATTTTTCCTCAGCTTCATCGCTGTTCTCGGTTGTACATAACGTATTTGTACTCATATTTGTAAATAATTAGATTTTTTTCAATCACAGGTAGACACACCAGAACCTTTACGACTCTATTTAAGTTTGAGAATGAAAACAAAAAACTCGGTAAATCAAAACAAATTATCCGCCAAATACAATCCACCAAATACAGTGCAGCCAACAACGTAGGGATATGTAAATCGATTTACGACTTTTAAATAGTGTACACATGTTGGACTTCTATTGTTTGTAAAGGTTTCCGGGCATACATGAAATATGGGGCTTACAGTTAAAATGCCTTTATACCAAATTTAGCGCTGTTACATATTTTGTTTTTTGTTAGTAGTATTGTGCGCTGCAATGTAACAGAATAACCATGATCCAAGTATAAGATCCCCCTTCCAGCTCAGCTGATTACCAAACGATCTGTTAATTAAATTTGAATTCGCTGCAAGCAAAACAAACATCAAAACCATGGTACAAGAATACAGGTAGTCGTAAAGCTGCTGGGACAATGAACAGCAAAACCAATTTTCAATTTAACAATAAATATTTTCGCCTAAAGCATGATTTTTGACATTTCATCTGATAAAATAACAGCTTTTAGATTAAACAGTTTTTAGATTAAATAATATGAAGGAAGACCGTAAGGTGTAAGTACATAAGACAAAGACATAAAGGTATGAAGATGGGACAAGACAGAGTCAAAATATTGTCACCAGGTGTAAATACCTCTGTTATTACATCATAACAACATAATCACCAATGTTAAGTTGTTTTAACAGCAAATTCAATTTTAAATTATTCGAAAACGTCAATGAAATGCAATTTTGAGTCCAAATTTTTGGTTTACAAAAAATTTTACTCGTAAAATTACTCTGGCCCTATATATATTTCACATTAACTATTTTTCCATAATGCATTTTGTCAAGTCGTTACTAATTTATATCTTTGCATACGAAGCTTGAAGTCATGGCTAGGCATATCTTGTGACATTTCTTTAAGAGATTACAGAGCCGCACTAAAATCCTGTCGTCGTTTTCCATTATAATTTGACATCAATATGCCTAGCCATGACTTCAAACTTTTTATGTACTAGCACCTTAATGATTGAGCCATGAGAATAACCTAAGATTCTATGTAGCGTAGTTTAATTAAGAGTATCACTGAGAAACGATTGATTTATTTAAGAATGGATAGTTTCACGTACTAGGAATTACTAAGCCTGGTTTTGTCTATAATCAATTTTTTGGTATTTCGCCATCGGTACTTCATGTTTATTTTCTTTAATAATCTGATTGCTATGTTTTTATACCCTCCACCAAAAAAGTATGGAGGGTATATTAAGTTCGTCATTCCGTTTGTAACTCATCGAAATAATCATTTTAGACCCAACAAAGTATATATATTCTTGATCAGCGTAAAATTCTAAAACGATTTAGCGCAGTCCGTCCGTCTGTCCATCTGTTGTAATCACGCTACAGTCTAAACGAATTAAGATAGGAAGCTAAAATTTCGCACAGATCTCTCTTTTGTCTGCAGGCAAATATAACGGTACCCCCGATATTCAGTATTTTGATGATTTTAGCCACATTTTTCAATGTAATTGTCTGAAAATTCACACAAGTAGTTCCTTGTGGGTACTTTATACCTCGGCAGAGAATTATCTATATAGGTCCACAATATCGTATAGCCCTCATATAATGGTACCCCCACGGTATTCGGTATTTTGATGATTTTAGCCACATTTTTCAATGGAATTGTCTGAAATTTCACAAAAGGAGTCCCTTGTGGACATTTTACCCCTTCAAAAAGAATTGTCTATATAGGTCCACGATATCGTATATCCCCCATATAACTGTACCCCCCGATATTCGGTATTTTGATGTTTTTACCCACATTTTTCATCGGAATTGTCTGAAAATCCACACAAGGAGTTCCTTGTGGGTACTTTATACCTCGGCAGAGAATTATCTAGAGAGAATTATCTAGGTCCACCATATCGTATAGCGCCCATATAACGGTACCTCCGATATTTGGTATTTTGATGATTTTATCCACATTTTCAATGGAATTGTCTGAAATTCCACAAAAGGAGTCCCTTGTGGGAATTTTACCTCTCAAAAAGAATTGTCTATATATGTCCACGATATCGTATATCACCCATATAACTGTACCCCCCGATATTCGGTAATTTGATGATGTTAGCAACATTTTTCAATGGAATTGTCTTAAAATCCACACAAGTAGTTCCTTGTGAGTACTTTACCCCCTGAGAGAGAATTGTCTATATAGATCCACGATATCGTATATCCCCTATATAACGGTACCCCCTATATTCGGTATTTTGATGATGTTAGCCACATTTTTCAATGGAATTGTCTGAAAATCCACACAAGGAGTTCCTTGTGGGTACTTTATACCTCGGCAGAGAATTATCTATATAGGTCCAGGATATCGTATAGCCCCTATATAACGGTACCCCTGATATTCGGTATTTTGATGGTTTTAGCCACATTTTTCAACGGAATGGTCCGAAATTGTGCACAAAGGGTTCTTTGTGAGCACTTTACCCCCTGACAGATAATTCTCTATATAGGTTAGCGATATCGTATATCCCCCATATAACGGTACCCCCCGATATTCGGTATTTTGATGATTTTAGCCACATTTTCCAATCGTATTGTCTGAAAATCCACAGAAGGAGTTCTTTGTGAGCACTTTACCCCCTGAAAGAGAATTTTCTTTATAGGTCCACAGTATCGTATATCCCCCCATATATCGGCACCTTCCTATATTAGATATGTTAAAGATTTTAAAAGAAGTTTTGATGGATTTTATTTTTTTGAAAATTTTCTTATTCGTTCAAATGGTGGAGGTTATTCAAAGTTCGGACCGGCCGAACTTACTGCTTTTTTACTTGTTCACATTAAAAAACGTCACAAATGAGAATATGCAATATGAGATTATGATTTTGCTTGATGCATCATCACAAAATTGCATGTCATGCATTTTGACCGTGTACGGGGTACTTAACAGAGTAATGCTATGTTCTCATTACACTTTCAATAACGTTGTTCGCTCTCAGAATTAGGTACACGAATTAACCCGTTCATACGACACGATTCGTAATTCATAGTAGAATAATTCCTTTTTTCAAAAATTTTGTTTGTTTATTTTAATGGGAATTTATATGAAAATACATGATATTCTCACTTATATGAATAGAAGAAATTATTGATTTATTGAGATTTATTATATCATTAATTTTAGAATTTTCATTCACGTTTTCAACTTTTTGCTTAGATGTTGACATTTTGAACATATTTTTGTATTTTTCTATTTTTAAATTCTGCTGGAGAGACACTTGTCAATTTTTTTTTTGCCGATACAAACATTTTGAAAATATTGCCTCTTTTGTTTACAGTTTTCTATGGAAATTTCAACTCGCGGGCAAAATGCGTATCTCGAATGAGAGGGAAAACAAAATTTACTTTCGTTTGAATGTACATACGCCATTCAACATTGTAGTTTTAATTCATAATTTTCAGTCTTCCCAAAAATTTTTAAAATTTCATTAAATTTTTCTATTTTTAATTTTTAAATGTCATAATTTACATAATTTATTTGTTAGGGATGGGACATATTTTTTCGTTGTTTTGAGAGTGGTTTGATTTGAACAATGTACAAATATGAGTTGTGCCATTCTCATATAGGTGTGCTCAAAAAATAAGGGAACAGAAAAATAGCAGATATGCGATAAAATGTCAACATTCAAAATTCCAAAAGAAAACAGTCTAAATCGGACTGGTGAAACCTAAATGAAATGGACGCCAACATTTAAAAAAATGAGTATTGAAAATAAGTTAAAATTAATAATTATTTTTGAATGCTGTTTATTTAGAAAGTTTTGTTTTGAGAATGCGTTGAAGAGTATTTAGAGGTTCTCTCAAATCCCAACCCCGGAGAAGCTGACGTGTTTGGAGTTTAAATTAATGTTAAATCTGCTAGAAGACTTAATGCCGCAAGTTGGGAAGACAGCCAACCTAAAAAATAAAAAGAAAATGTTCGCAGTAATAAGCAAACATCTTTGATTTTAAGCTTAATTTTTCAATTTACCTTTCACTATTTTGCACTGTTTTCCAATACGTTTTCTTCGTCTGATTCCACGTTCAGCCAGTCCTCTTCACTCCAAAAGTGAATACATCAGTTGCTCCATATTTTCTCTTTTTGTTTTTTTTTTGCACGACAAATATTACTTTTTCTTTAGTTTTTAAGTTTATCTTTTTTCTTTACATATGTTGTCATTTGTAAAGGTTCTGAATTTGGCCGAGCAGAAATGAGCATATTGTAAATTTGACATTTAATTGGCAGGGCTAACAAGGTTGAAAAATGTATTGATACATTTCAATAAAGAAAATGATCAACTTGAAAACTAAAGGAAAAACTAATATTTGTCGTGCAAAAAAACAAAAGAGAAAATATGGAGCAACTAATGTATTCACTTTTGTATGATTCCAGCAGTGAAGAGGACTGGCTCAATGAGGAATCAGATTATAAATTATTAATTTTAACTTATCGTCTTTAATACTCATTTTTTAAATGTTGGCGCCCTTTTCAGTAAGGTTTCACCAGTCCGATTTAGGCTGTTTACTTTTGGAATTTTGACATTTTATCGCATTTCTGCTAATTTTCCGTTCCCTTATTTTTTGAGCAAACCTAAATGAGAATGACATTTCGAACTGTTCTCTCTTCTGCTAGTTTTACTACTAAAAAAGTACTGGAACACAACTTAAACAAACAGAAATGTACAACACTCAGCGCCATTTTTTTCTCAAGAGAGCTGCAAGTTTTGCTAGTTTTTGGTGTACGGGAACGCGTTGTACCAGAATTAGCACTAATTAGTACTAATTTGTAGGTTCTGGAACACAACTATGATTGTTCGCTCAGGAAATGTTGTGTGAAGAATTTGGTAGTTTTTTCATAGTTAAGGGTCAAACAACGAATAGAGAGCGAATCAAGTGCAGTGGAAACGCCACATAACAAACACATTAACTTCCCACTATGGTAACATTTTTTTGTACGTCCGCATTACCCAAATACTCTAGGTTCATATCTTAAATTTTACAATCTTAAACTGGCATAGCCTCAGAGCAGTATTTCTGTAGTTTTAGAAAGTTGTTCCACCTCCTTATTG